AATTTTCTTTAAAAATATAATATAATATAATGAGTTAATTGTTCAAAAATATTCACAAATAAATGCAGTACATATTCACTTACATTAATCTTATGGATAACAGTTGCTATTATGGAAATTCGGAGCTCATTCTTGCCACAGATATAAACGGTAATATTAATTTTAATATTAACAGATTTATACCTATTAATCTTAAAAAATTAATATATTTTATTATCATTTATCTAGCATTAATTATATAGCAAACGGGATACGATTGTCTATGATAATAACTGTTATCCATAGACATCTATGGCCACATACATAATTGTCGTGTTCTTTTTAAATAACAATTGAAGACATTTACGGGTAATAAATATTGACGATCGTTAAATTTGACTAGTCGGAAACACGCGCCGTTTTCATGGTCGAACGGTCATGAAGGCGACTGTAAAAATCGGCTGTCTTATCCATCACTCGAGCAAAGTAATGCTGAGAGATCACGGTCACCAGCAGAGATCGCATCCTTTCTCGTTCCGGTTACTTTCACTGGAAGACCGATGACCGGTTGAACGTTTGAAAGTCGAGAAAGCCGTTCTTGGCGATCCCACCGTCTATAGATGCCGCTCACGGTTGTAATCGGCAAGAATGGAATCAAAAGCAGAGGATCAGCAGAGAATAAGGAAAGTGAAAGGATCGAGAAGGGCTCGGCAAGAAAATAATAATTCGTGAATTAAATTGGGTTTTTATATAGCTTATCATACGAATGGTAATTGTCTGTTCAAAGATGTAGCCTTTAATTAACTTTTTCAACGTTGATTTTATAATGTTTTTATTATAATGCTGATTTGATTGCCAAATTTTTTATGTAGTAATCAATGAATTTTATCAATAGATCACTTTCTCACTTCAAACACAACTAAAAAATGATTTTCGAATTTTTATCATGAATGAGTCAAAATATTATCTTGATCAACTTAGTGAACTTATTTAAGTACCTATATTAATGACAATTTTATTCTAATTTCGCTGAAATATTTTTAATTTTGTTTGACAAATATAACAGATCCCATTGTATAATATTAATATTTTTAGAAGTACGTAATAATAACAGCTGCTTGAAAATTTCTTGCATTTGAATATTTTGTACGGCAGATCGTTTTAATTCCGACTGCGAAAAGCTGATCTTGATCTTGATTGTAAGGTAAGGTCGTTCGGTGCACCTTCATCAGGATTTCTTGCGGAAGTGTGTGAAAGTAATAGTTGTTGGACGAATCGCATCGATGAAGGCTACATTGTAGCTCATCATTTAATGTAAGTAGAAGGAAGTCCGAAAAGCGGATAAAATTTCTTTCATTTAATCGAGACGCAATGTTTGCAGATTTTTTGCAATAATATATTTCGAACATATTAATAATAAATCACGTATAAGATAAATAAAGATGAAGACATGAAATATAAAGACGCGGAAGTATTAAGCTATTCATTCACTGATACGTTTAAATGTTTGCTTCGACTAATACCGTACATTTATGTACAATAATTGTTAATTCCTACATCTGCTTTGCGCAATTTCCTCGTTGGCACTACAAGTACCGACGCGATGTTTCTTAACTCATTAAAAAGATAGCGAATAAATTAAGATACTATAAAAATAAAGAAAGTGACGAAAAAAAAAAAAAAATTTTATCAATATATAAAGAACATAATTATTGAAAAATTAAAAAATTTTAAAATTCTATCTTTTTCACAAAAAAATATACTTAATATTAATAAAAAATAATGATCATTCACTACTTTAGCATGAATATGCGGTTTGTTTGAAGAGAGTAACATTCAGCAGCTATATCGTATAATAGTAGAGAGTTTAAATATATGGAATGGTCGTCGGTTCTTCGGCAGTAAAAGAGAAGAGTATGTATTCATATTTTTACATAATGCGAATAAAAGAATACTTGTCTAAAACACTTCATTGTTTATTTGCTATTAAATATTTTTTACGGATTTTTTTTTAAGGATAATATCTCGATAAATATCATGACATAAATATCAGACATTACATGATTAGCAATAAGACGTAACATAAGAGATACAATCTATCATATTCTTACAGTCTAATCATTTTATATATCGTTGTAATATATATAGAGATCTTTAGTATCGTTAACTAAAATACTTCCTTATTAATTGACATTATACGTGATAAATATGTGAATGATAAATACATCATCATGAAATAACATTTTTAAATGTACTGATATAAAAATGTTATCACATATGTTTCAATGTATATATTTCAATGTATATAAAAATGCAGCAATATAAGTGAAAGCATATACGACAAAATCATTTCTACCGGAAAAGTTTTATTATTTACCTACAAAAAAAGCGTAAAATAAAAGAATGTTTAGAAATTAAAAGATTTCCTATATATTTCCTGTATATTTCCTCGAACAGCATTGATATCGATTCTTGACTCTTAAATCTTGATTAAATATAAGAAAAACATGTTTTGCTTAGACTAGTAATTTTATTTTGCTAAGGAAATCTATTTCGTTAAAATTGAAGCTCTATTAAGATTGAAGAGTAGAATTATATTCTTCTCGAATCATAATAAATGCACATGCTCGAGCATTGAATTGATGGATGATATAACGGAGATACCGTGTCAATGTCAGCTTGTGCGGAATCAAGGCCAGCAATTTGTGACAAAAAGAAGTCTCCGCTTGCCGCGGCTAGTGATCATTTTGTCACGAAATTTGCCGCAGAGGCTTGAATGATAAGGGAAAAGAGTGAAAGGAGAAGGAGCGGCACGATACAACCGAGAGAGCCTCTCACGGTTATTCGCCACAAGCAACTGTCTTTCTCAATGTAACGCGGTATGCGTTTCCGTCTCTTCCCGTTCACTACACTCGGTCGCTCTCACCCTTTTATTTTCACTCACTCTTCCTTTCCCTGCACCCTATTCTACCTCCCGCGTGTTCCTGTTACTTTCTATTTTCTTACCCGACAGTATTTACGCGCTCGAGATGTACACATGTGTACGAAATCCATTAACGCACTGTACTGTAGGTAGACAATGTAGACATGGCGACTGAAGAATCATAAAATTTTAATTGAATGTTGTAAATCATTTTAATAAATCATTTTTTATCTGTGAATTTTTTGAAGATGTAAGCTCTTTTTAGTTAAGAAAAAAATATCTTTATCGTTACTAGTTTTTGACGTTTAACGGTCTAAATGTTGTTTTTTATATAAAAAGATAATTATTTTTTCTGAGATAACATGTCTATGTATAATAAACATTTAAGAGAATATTTAAAATCTATAATAATATATAATAATATTTCAAAACATATTTTAACAAAAATTTATTTAACGAAAGAAATTTAAGTATTATCTCTGACAACATTCTTAATATAAATTTAATATAAATATTTATAAAATCAAAAAATTCGAAAAAAATCTTTAAATTAAATAAATCCTTAAATCTGTTGAAGATAGCGTTTTTGCAATAAGTTATATTATTTATTAAAATTTATTAGCTCTTTCAGTTTTTTGCAAATCTTTTATTAGCTTATGATTTATAGCTCTAAATGATTTTGTTAATAAAAAATTAAAAATTAGCACAAAGATATTTAGAGCAAATGCAGTTCAATGAATATCTAAATTGAATACCATTCAATGAATACCATTTGAATATCTAAAACATCTTGTATAAAAAATTTTCCGCGTAATTAACGCTACTGTAAGGTACGAGGTAATTTTCCACTCTGTGCTTTCACATGGTTGTATTAGTAAAAATCTCCCAACAATTAAATAGTGAGTTGTTTGAGTAGATATACTTGTTATTTCATTGTTGCGAATGTAACGAAATGTATACTTGCATATATTGTAGTTGTTGGCAATAACCTATACACCAGCAATGAAATGTGAAGATTTGAGAAAGTTGAAGTTTAAATTGGATTGAAATTTATTACATCTATTGTTCTCACTAATTTTATTCTCATTAATTTTATATTAATAACACAAATTCAATAGACACTGGGAATTTTTTTTCAGTGTACTTTTTAGATCTGATTAATTATTAAAATAAAAAGAGAATCATTCTGAGGCAAAATAATGAAATTCTTTTATATAATTATTATTTAATCAGCAAAAAGCACAGAAAATAAAATGATAATATTTATTTTTTAAATTTATTCTCCTCTTTTGTAAATTTCTTTTAATTAACAAATATTTATTATAAAGGAGAATCTTAAGTTAGGGCTGTTTTTCGACTAAAATGAAAAAATTCCGAGATATATAAATTAGAACTTTTAAGCAGAGTCAAGTGTATCGATTATCTTGAGGATTGCTAACTTAGTCCTTTAATATGACATTTAACTTGTACATCTCGAAACTTTTTCATTTTAACAAAGAAGTAACTTTAACTTAATATCCTCCTTTATTTACATCATGAAGTTTATTTGACATCTCAAAACCGTTGCGTGCTTTTTCAGATAATATCAATTTACATAATTACGTTTACTATATCCATATATTAATTTAAATGTTAATTAAACAAATTATGCTTACTTTATTCATTTTATACAATATAAGGTAATATCGGTTATAAGAAATCAGTAATCATTAATAATCTAAGAATATCTTTGATTAAATGAGACAAAATTTGAAGTAGCATGCAATTAATTTAAAACTCATATACCTCTCAACTCATAACTTCTTTAACTTTATAATAATCTACACACACACACACACACACACACACACACACACACATACGTAAAATAAAAATTGCATTTAAAATTAAGATAAAATATAAATACGTTATTATTTTCGAGAATTTTCAGAATTTTCGAAAAATAATTATATCAGAGCTAAATTACTTTTAACTGTACGATGTGTTTGTGTTATTTATATACATATTATAATACGTTACATGCATGTTCGTGCTAGTTTGTGGTGAATCCGATATCCGCGATCGGTTAAAATCTGTATAATTAATACAATTGCTTAATCAAAGTATAGATAGACTTAATTTCTCTCACGCGATATGCGTAACAAACGATAAGTGGTCGTTGCTGAGTTCAATCATGTAAGTTAAATCATATCTGTGTGTGCGTGTAAACGTATATAATTCTGTGTTACATTATTATAAATACTTTAAAGAAATATATGCGTTCTCATACAATTAATACTTTATGAATAATGTATTATCGGAGAAGAGTTAATGTTTATATCGCATTATTTATATATATCATTGAAAAAGATGTATGATTTGTGTATGGCTTCAATACACAATGACTTCGATGCCAACTTTATGCAGGGAAATTAAAATATTATCTACTAAGAAAAATTGTTAACAGATTTTACTTAAATTTTGTAAGTGATTTTGTGACTTATTGTGACGTATTGTGACTTATTATAGTTTCTATATCATTCGTTGACCTGTACCTGCACTTACTCAAATAAATAAATTATAATTAATAATTTATTATCTTTATTTATTATCTGTAAAAATGGATTCACGATAATAAAGATCAAAGACATATGTTTAGATTTCATTTTCTTATGCAGCATGTGCAAACATGCATTTCTTTTATAACTGAAATATTTGAGCAAGAATCATAAAGAGATATGCGAATTGTCTATAATATTTTATTTTCTAGTTGATTTTATTCTGGAAATCGGAGAAAGTGTATAATCAATAGAAGTAATAATTCTGAATCAATATTAATACTTTTTTTATCTACGTCTACTCACATACCGCGCCAAACTTATAAATCATAAAGATCAATGCAATGCGCTTATCACGAATTGCCAATTGCAATGGAATTCTTAAATAATATAGTGCGAGAATAAAAGCATCAACAATATCTTTGATTAATCTACCAATATAATTTTTGCTCAGAGATAAGGTCAGACTAGTAAGAAGATCAGGACAATTATAAAAGAAAATCTTTTCTCCATTTTTTTCATTTCTCTTTCGTTTATAAAATTTGGTATACAACGTTGTGAAGTATCAGCTGTAGAAACTAGTAAGACACTATACTGCATATGCTCTAATTACCGAAAATAGTTAGTGGCAATCAATCATCATAAATATCGATATACATATGTTGGCAAAATCGAGAAAGCTCAAATGTGAATTTCTCTAGGACCAAGCTGGATCACGGTTGTTTTTGTTCACTGAAACGCATTATGTGCCTACATGTAGTAGGTATCATCTGGTACATGTACTTCGGGTATACGGCGAGGAGGTATGCCCACCAGTTTTGTACGTCATCGCGCGGTCGATTTCTTTTTGAGTGTTCTTCCGAGAGTACCTCCGGTGTGGTGGTATCCGATCTTTATTTCATCCCCACTCCTTTCTTCCGGTATTTCCTCTCGTATATATATACAGGTAAGACCGCGACTGCAAATATATGACAGTGTATACTGGGTCGCCGTGGTGAGCTGTGGAGGAAGGAAAAAGTTCAAGATCCGGTAGCGTCCTGGATACCAGAATGGAAATCAAATACGCTGTAAGATATTTAAACGGATAAAAACCGTCGTTTCACTGAGAATATAGGACTTCGCGTGCAATCGATGTTTGAAAGTGTCTTCGTTCAGTGGATTTTTTCGCATTCAAATCTACAGTCGCGCGAATAACAGTTTTATAATTTCGTTTTATAATTCTTTTTAAAAAAAGAATTGTAATAATTAGAAACTTTAACTTAATAAGTACAGAATAATATATAATGAAATAGTTTTCTGTGTTACAGTTATTAAATTTTAAAATTGTAAGTCGAAATTAATGATTACAAACAACAAAATTTGGTGTAAGGACAGATCTTTTTTAGTACAGAAAAAATAATTTCAATCAATCTGAAGTATGAAGTAATTAAAATTATACTTAATTATAATAAAAATTTTCAACACACTATATTTATAATGCATGTTTTTGTTATTTAAATAATTTGATTAATTAAAAAATTTTATTGTAACTGAGAATTGTTGTTTTAGCAATTATTTTCAATCTTATTTTTTGCACAATAAAAAATCTGTTTAAAAATAAATAACAATATTTAATGGAAAAAATACCATTAATAAGGTTTTTATTTCTCAATACCTAAATGATTTTTTTTTGTATTTTATTTTGTAAAGTATAAGAAAAAAGCTATAAATTGTTCAACTTTCAGTTTTTTTAAATCCTTAATTTTTTGACATTTTTGGATGTAATAGAACTTTATATTTTTTTTCTAAAAATACATAAGAATAACCATTCAGATTTTGAGAAAGAGTAATATTGTAAATCAATATTATATATATAAAATCTTTTCAATTTTTATAATACATAAGGACACTCATAAATAATTCTCGGAAATAATAAGTAAAATACGTTTTTTAAGTTATATGATATACCGCATTTAGGATTACATCTAATATATTCATATAGCTGAAATTTAAAAAAAATAATGGATTATTAAAAAGATTTATTTAATTGCAGATAAAGGTCATCATTCTTGCAAATATTCTATCAGTAGGCTTCGCAACCTTCGGACATGAGCAGTGAGTCCCAATCATAAAAATATTAGTAAAATTTACTGGTATTTAATGGTTGATGAATTATGTTTTCAGAGAATGTTAGATTTAATTTTATAACTAAAAATAGAGAAAATACCATAAATAAAATAAATTTATATCATTTTATAGCAGCCTACTTAAACGCTCATGCGTAATTAATTACACGTTTGTGTGTAATTAATTTATTCAAGATCCAATTAATTCATGTACAAATTAGTGAAAGAAGATGAGAAATAAGATTCTTCATATGTCTGTAATTACCGACATCTTAAAATGTTCGTTAATTAGAACCGCACTGTTCCTCCTTTTAAGCACACTTTTTGTATTTCAGTGTGCATATAAGGATACACTTGCCGGAGGTAGTGCAGCAACATGAAAAACATATCATAAAATATGAAGATCATGGCGGAGGAGGTCACGGAGGTGGAGGTGGAGGCGGCGGAGGTGATGATCATCACATTGATGTCTCCGGTCCTGGAGACATAGGAGGTGGCCATGGAGGAGGTTTTGGAGGAGGTCATGGAGGTGGATATGGAGGAGGCGGTGGTTTCGGAGGTGGTTTCGGAGGGGGTCATGGAGGAGGTCATGGAGTTGGTGGAGGTTTTGGAGGAGGTTTTGGAGGTGGTCATGACGATATTGGCGGAGGTAAGGAGAAATTTTATGAAAGATACGTTCTAATTTTGAATGTTGTTATTTTTTATAATATTCAAAGTATCAATTATTTTGTTTATAAAATGAATTTGTAAAGATAGAGATATTCAAGAAAAAAAACGCCGAAAGAGAAATAATATTATACTATACCTATGTATTATTTATTAAGCAATTAATATGTGTGATTAATGACTAAATGCATTATATAGTGATAAAATGCATTAAGAAAATGCAAAGAAATTAAAGTAATTTAATTATTAATCTAAATTATTTTAAACATGAATAGAAATTTATTCTATTTTAATTATTCTTGTTTAAATATTCTTTAAAAATTAAAAAAATTCCTTTTTCTTTCTTCTTTCATTCTTTTTCTCTTTCTCTGTTTTGTATCATATTTAATATAATTATAATAAAATCAAAATAAAAACAATAATTTATTTTAGGAGGTATCATCGTAGATCATGGTGGTGGTCATGGAGGAGGCTACGGCGGTGGCGGTGGTTTTGGAGGTGGCCATGGAGGAGGTGGTTATGGCGGGGGGGGGGGCGGAGGAGGTGGTATCATCATAGATCATGGAGGACATGGTGACGGCGGCGGCGGTTTTGGAGGTGGTCACGGAGGTGGCGGTTATGGCGG